AAGTGGAGGCTGAAGGCTCTGGACTTAAGAGTAATTGTAAGTGATATTGTATTATAGCTATAGGACATTCGGGGGCATTTTGGAGCCATTTTTGGAAAAAACCATGGGCTATAGCCTTAGGTACTTTTCAAAAATTGTCCAATTTTTAAAAAATGATGTAACTCAATAAATTTTTGTCGGAATCAGCTCGAAATTTCTACAAAACATAAGTGCATCAATATGTATCATAAAATGTGACAAAAATTTGCGGTGATTTAGAGCCGTTTTTTGGGACAAACCATGGGCTATAGCCTTGGGTACTTTTCAGAAATTGGCTAAATTTTAAAAATGGCCGTACCTCAACAAATTTTTGTCGGAATCAACTCAAAATTTCTATACAGCATAAGTACATCAATATGTATCAGAAAATGTAATAAAAGTTTAGGGTCATTTTGTAGCCATTTTTTGAGAAAAACTATGGGCTATAGCTTTAGATACTTTTCAAAAATGGGCCAATTTTTAAAAATGGTTGTAACTCAAAAAAATTTTGTCAGAATCACCTCAAACTTTGTACACAGCATAAGTACATGTGTATCAGAAAATGTAATACAAATTAGGGATGATTTTAGAGCCATTTTTGGGAAAAAATTATTAATATTATTATTATTATCATTATTCTTACTATGTAAAATAATGTATAGTAGAGATAATAACATATACTAGTCCAGAGTTAATCTCATAATAATAAAATTATTGATAATATGAATAAAAATAAAAATAAGTGGCCTAAGAGACAAAACACTAGACTGTAGAGGAAGACAGCAAAAATGATTTGTTTATTTGTTTCGTTAATTAATTTATTTATAGGTTACACAGCATAAGATTTGGAATATTGCTAATATGCTTGGATTGTCTGACACACTAATGAAGTTAATTGAGAGGACAGCTCAAATAAAGAATTATTTATAGTGATCTAATTGATAATCATGGTATGTGCATATGATTGTTAGGTGATATTAAATCATTACCAACTGATGTACAAGAATCAGTAGCAAGAGCTGTGACAATGACTAAAAACAATAACAAGTAAGTACATGTACATGTACTTATTATAATTACATAAAGTATACTTACTTGTACTGGAAAGTGTGTTAGTATATCAGCATAGTTGGCAAACAACTTGTTACCACAGACAGACAAACTACTGTCCAAGCTCCTCACTACATGTACAGTAAATTTGTAAATACATGTACAGTGGACATGTACTCATTATTGTGTGTAGACCACATAATTGGAATACTTTTTGTAATGTGTGCATGAGGTTGATTGTAGTTGTGCTACACGTAGTTATTTCATTCATCAGGTAACTATAAGGCTCCTCTATCTAAACTGCCCATACATTAGCTTCCTGTTCCTTTATATAATGTGGTGTCAGTGTTTACCTCTCAATGCATTATGCATGTACCTACATACAACAATGTACAACAATCTATACAACAGAGTCTAATGTATTCAGTAGCACATGTACAAAATGTAT